CAAGCCACAGATCACAGTGATCTTTATTCCATCTTTAAAAGCAAGAAATAATCAACAATAATAAGCAGAGCTGAATGCAATAAGTTGAACAAGGAATAAAAGTTTTTACAATTTTTAATGATCTGTTCAAGATTGAACTTTCAGGGGAATGAAGTTTAAAAATCCCAGCATAAGCCTGAATAACAGAGAAATGTCCTTATTTTATTTCAATAAGAAATACTCTTTTCTTTATTATGAGTGAGAAATGAAAATTACATTGTCATGGGTAAAATCTTCTGAAAAATACCAGTTGCATTTTAATCTTATATTTAAATCGAAATGTATTTTCTTTATTAAAATATTTTTAATGAAACTATGCAGCAGATACTTAATTAATAAAATGAATTCCTTTTACAGGCTTCATTGTTTTGGAAAAATGACTTGCATCAGTATGCCTTGCTCATCATTGATGCAAAAAGTGATTCAAACTGAAAAGAATTAAGTTTTTTCGAGAATATTTTTCAAAATGAAATTTTTGAGCAGAGTTTATTTCTTATATTTTTTGCTTGTTCAACCAAATATTTTTTTTTAGAAATTGGACTCACCGATGCCTTGTACATATTGACTTTTGGAAATGAGAAAAGTTTTTTTTTTTCCTGTTCCAAACTGGAAGAAAACACTGCTGTTATTTGCTCGGGTCACTGTCGACAGACGGCTGATCGTGGACTGGATGACTCGTCACTGTCGACGGCCGGGGTATTTATACTGAGCCAGCCGTCAACGACACATAAAAACACAACACCCCCGAATATACTATAATACAAAATAGGGATGCAACTAGACCAACGAGTCTCTTATGTTATCATATTGCGCGATCCAATTTTAATTAACGCCCCGAAGAAATGACCGCTAAAAAACATGAATGTCGGGTCAAGTCAGGTCGGAATTTCGACACCACTTGCCGCACCGAAACCCGGGTCCCTGTTTCACTTTTTCTAGGTCATCTGTAGGTCACACACTACTGGATTAAACCGAGGGTTTCTTCAGAAAAAAAATTAGTTCAAGGTTTCCAATATACAGTTCAATGTTGGGGATGCAGAAGTTTTAATTAAATATTACCACCTATTTTCAGCAATTAATTGTTTTTCCCTTTTTTTTCAAGCGAATAACTGTGTTTGATCAATATATTTATATACTTAATATTTGCTTCCTGTATAGTAATGCTGTAGTGTAAATAGTCCACAAAGTTGATTTTAACTGGAGTTTCACCTCAAGTCATCTTACAAAAAAATATAATTAAATGGATTACATGCTGTCAATAAAACCAAACCTTTTTTCAAAGACATGTGGTACATCATTTTGGAACTAGACTGGAAATTTATCATTTTTGTATTCCAAAATTTTTGTAAATACTGTACTTTTCTTGAAAAACACCCAAATAACTTGTCAAACTGAGAAGGAAATCCAGCTTTAGAAGTAACCAAATACAATTTTTGCTGACTAAAGGTCACAATACTGAAAATGCATTCATGAGAATAATAAGTTTGGCATCTTTCTTTCTAGAATTTTTTAGCAAAAGGTTTGAATTATGGGCCAATAATTGTTGTGAGTGTATGGGAATACAATACCATATTTAATCAATATGTCTATCAAAATAGGACACACCCAGATTTTTTAGCCTAAAATTTTAATGAAAATTATATCCCAGAGCAAGATGCACAGTTGCACACCTCCCAATAACTGACTCCAAAATTTTAATCCGGAAATGAATTAAATTATGTTCAATTGTATCCATTACAAAAATATGTTTCCTTAGAAATTGGTTCAAATTTCCCCTTAGTAACATATATGAAAAGCAACTAAACTTCTAAAAAAAGTTTGAAAAAAGTTATACCCACCCTCTTTTTTTCCTCTAAATTTTGAAAATATGGAGTGCATTAGGTGAGGTATATAGTAAACTTGAAATTTCCAGGAATTTTGGAAATCCCTGTGAATTCTTATTTAAAAAGGAAATAATTTTGAAACTCCAGTGAAACATTAATTTTAACAAAGCCTTGAAAAAACCGTAATCCTAAAATGGAAGCTCATTTCCAAAAATCTTTGATGAATAATAATGTCTTTTCATTTCGAAGTTCTTCATCATGCTTTCTGAAGTACAGTAAGGTTCACTTGAGGCAAAAGGTTCCTCAAATAAAAGTGTTTACATAAAGTGCCATGATTAAATTTTTGGGTGGCTTATTGCAGAACTTTTGAGAACTTCCCTCAGACATACATGCACAGTGTGTCAAAGACTTTATAAAAACGTGAGTTGGTTTCAAGTTTTTCCCCCTTTACCCAGAAGGGCACCCGGTTTGTTGGGTAACATGGTCTGACTGACTTGGGTTTTGGGCCATCGACACTGACACTCGTCATCGTCGACATTTCTCCACTGTCATTAAAGTAACCAGAGCAAGAAGTTTATTGCCCACAACCTTGGGCAGTATTTCGTGCAGGTGACTGATGACCAGCAATGCATTCCAATCATTTCACAAACCAATTGCCTCTGCAAAAAAAAAAAATACTGCATGTACTGTATTGCATATAAAAAATATAAATAAACAAAATTTGTCACACTGTGTTGTTTTGATGGCCCTTACATGGAATGCAGGTGAGTAACCTGGCCATTATTGGACCTTGCAAAACAAATGGCACACTTTGATTGTGGGTGCATGGCATGTAAACATAAAAAATATGGCATTATTTAGTTTTCTGCAGACTGTCTGCAATATTTGAAAAAATGAGAAACAGTTGATTTTTTTCTACAGGAACACCATTACCTAAATTTTACTCCTGTTTTGATTGAATTGAAAATTTAATTTAAACTCAGTAAATAATTCATATGAGTAAACTGATGCTTCTTTCTTTTATCTTCCCATTTTTAAATACAAAAAGTCAATATATGTTTTTACAGAAACTGCATAATTGGTGACATTCTTTCCCAAATTTTATGAGACAATTTCATATTCCAATCAATTTTATTGGATTTTTGGAACATAGTGTACTTCAAACTGCACCACTGATGTTTTTCTTCAGAAAGTGAACCCTATTTACTTATTGGGGTACTAAAACTTTTGAACTTAACGTAAATAAATTCAAGTATCTGAAGTTAAAATGTGGATGCAAGCAGATGACAGTATAAATGCATTTTTACCTATATTTATTGCTTTCAGCATATTGCAGTACTCTTCCTTGTTGCCTGACATTTATGTTGATATTTTTATGAGAAACTCCCATCAAATCAGTAATTTAGGAGTAGTGAAGCTTTCAAAAATGATCTGAAAGGTTTTCCCAATAATTTCATCAGCCTATGTATTCCTCATCCTCATTCAAGATGATGAGACTTAATTTTAAAAGTCTGGGCTTAAAATTCGCATTTTTCAGCATTTAGCTTCTTTGTAATGGTATATATACAGTACATTATTTATATAATGGAATCAACATTGAAATTAAAGGATAAGTACTGTACTCTTAAAATGTGTAAGAACATACAGTAAAATTATGTCCCCAAATTATGTGCAGAAAAATTCTTCTTTTGCTCCAACCAATGCAAATTTTTTCTCTTTTGTAAGTATTATTTGGAAAGACTAATTTTTCGTTATGTACAGAATACTGTACTGTATTTGCTGTATAGTGATGTAAGCAGTTTCTAAAAATACTCAGTCAAGATTTGGCAAGGGGAAAATTTCAAAATGGACTGGTTTGATGTGACACCCAAGAGAGGATAAAAAAGGTAACAGAACCTATAGCTATCACAAAAATACTGGCCGAGTTGACTTCATTATATACTTGCATCATCATCAGCATAGACGTAACCTGAAAAGCACAATAAGGAGAACAGTCCTTATTTAATTGACTTGCTTAATTATAGAGGTCAATAATCATGCTCTCAAATTTTCACTAGTGAAGTATATACTGAATACGGGTTTTATTGATTGCAAACAGCTCACAGTCGATGTGTTTTTTAGAGTCGTTGGCGATAATTCAAAGGATTTCCATTTTTATAAATGGTCAATAAAAACGACCACTTGCAGGAAGATATGACAGGAACAAACTGTAGATTTACAGAAAAATTGTCAGGGTGATCCGAGGAGGAATTTGATGCTTGATGTGTATTTATAAGCTTTTTACGTTCATAATTTCAACTGAGAATCTTTATTTTTTCTCAAGACTGTCTAAAATCTAAATGAAGAAATCTGATTTGATGCCAGCAACGCTGCTCAGGGGTATTTCTTAAATACCGACCTGCTGTGTAGAAACAATAAATGTCATATATGAGAGTACAGTACTGTAAACATCAATTCTTACTGCTGTAACAACAGTTTTATACAGTACTTTTATTTCAGGTTTCATTTCCTTGCTATTACAAGACAACATTTTTAGTGGTGTCTCCTTTAACTGCTAGAGTTACCAACTTGATAAAAATGTCAGTTTTGTCAGATGCCATATCAGTTAGAATTTCTAACCAATAGCAAGGCTTTGTTTTCATTTATTCGCCATTTCATGGAAAATTTGTGTTACACTTGGAAAGAATCATATGTTTTATGTTTTCAGATTTATTTTTCAAATGGTGCCAATTTTTTTTGCGTGGCTATCCAAGCTTATTTTTGTCAATGAGGGCCATTTTGGAAGAAGTACAGTAATGTGTGTAACCTGCAGAGAAATGATTTGTGCTCCAAAAAGTTTCCATATAAAAACATTTCAAAAATCAGAGTTTAAATACTGCTTTTCTCTAGTCTGTTGTCTTGGGCAAGGCATTGGACCCTCTAAAAATTACAAGGACACATTTTAGAAATTCAACTGTGTTTGGAGAAGTATTTTGGATTCCACAGAAATCACTGATTCCATTGCAAGCATGAGAAATCCTTTTCAGATGCTGTAGTACATAGTTCTTTTCCTGGTCCCTCAAATATTTTTTTGTCTCCTCGGATTTCTTTGTGGAGAGAATCCATTTGCATTACTCTTTTTGAAAAAATCTACACAAATGCAGGTGACAAAAAACTTGTATTAACATCCCATGATTCACGAGTATCATCACAAATTACCTCCTCTAATAACGCGACAAGACGGAAGAACAGTCAAGCAGAAATGCTTGCTGCAAGCATATTGGCAAATCGCTCAGTACTTGCAAGAGAGCGAGCAAAAAAATGAGGTAATGAGACGAACTCGTTTCATGTCCCCCATAAATACTGTCCACAATGGAAGAAAAACTGTGGCAGGAGAAAAAGGACTTGACCGGAACTTCAAATGGAAAAGGTAAGAATATTCGGGAAAAAATTTCCATATTTGCGTTTATAGTACTGTATAGTATAGGTAAACTTGAAACTGGATTTTAAAAGCAAAAAAAGAAAGAAGATGAGGAAAAAAGTCTTGTTCAGCGTCTTTGGTAGTTATTCGCTGGGTGTCCAGTCCGATGTTGCGGTACGTTTCGTCGCAAACCACCCGAGCGGAAGTTGACGACAGGCGGACTTGAGGTGGCATCCAGAGATTTTAATTTCGCCTCAATTGCTGCAATTTGCATCTTCCTCGTGGTGTTGGGCGATTTGGGCCTTGATTTCGAGATTCTTCCTGAGCTCAAATTCTGCGAATGCTGCCAATAAAGAAACAAAAACAATTTGCCAAAAATGTAGCAGAATTTAAAATGCTTGAAAACTAGATGCTTTTCAAATCTCAAAGTAAGTTGCACAGATTTCGCCTCAATCTCGTCATTATACAGGTTCATGCAATCTTCAGACTCACAGAAAAAACTTCTATACAGCATATAAATTACAGATCTCAAAGGAAGTTGCATAGATGTCGCCTCAATCGCGCACACAGGCTCTTGAAATTTTCGCGGACTCTCATAGGATATGCAATAAATTATAATGAAAGCATAATTTATCATCCATAAGCATGGAAGGACAACTCACTGATGAAGTCGTCGGTCTTCTCTTCACATGGTCTCCGCCCCTGGCCTCACCGTCCCCGACATCACCGCCTCTCTCATTGTTGGCCAGGTGCACGCTCAGACACCTATCCCCGAATCGGAACCCGTTGAGCTGGCCCAAAGCTCTGGCAGCATCCTCGGCTCGCTCGTAAGCAATGAAAGCATAACCGCGCGGCTTCCCCGCATCTGGCCCACGCTGGTGCAGGAGGTAGTCGAACTTGGACAGCTTTCCGAATCTCTCAACCACCCGAAGTAGTTTGTACCTTTTGAGGAGAAACACAGGTTGATTCAAATTTGAGTCCCCAAGAGAATTTTCACAGGCATGATCATCAATTTTCAATACAGTACAGGCGGCTTCCCTCTACAACGAAATTCCAGGGACCAGAGAAAAATTACAGTTGCAGTTACATATTACAAACACCTCGCACTAAGAATATTCTGCAGGAAAGATAAACGTTTCTAGTGACATCTTTTTTTAACTTTGTACTACGAACACAATTTGCATAAAGAGCAATTTGTTCTTTATGAAGTACAAATGTATTTTATACATACCCTGTTTGTTATTTGTATGAGAAGAAATCATAAAAAAAACCATAATGCTGGCATAAATTACATTTAACTGTACAATACAGTGAGACGCCCACATGCAGACACCTCAACCTGCAGACAATTTGACATGGGGACACCAATTTCATCATAAAAAAGGCCCAACATGAGGACACTGACTCAACAGAGGGACATTTCGTTAGAAAATTGCAAATACATTTCAGGCCAAATTACAAGAAACAGAGATTTCCAACCCTAAAATTGGTGTAAGAAAAGTTAAAAAACCACCTCCAGCAGAGAGGGACTTCCTTCCCTCTTTTTCACTTGAATATTATTTTTACAGAGAATGCCAACATTTCTATGTACTGTATACAGAGGTATTAGTATTAAATTCCCCAAATGCCCATATTGTGTTGAAATGTATTGATTGGAATCAGTTTAAATTGGGAGACAATTTTCATTTCCATGGAATTAGGGTGAGTATTTTGTACATAAAACACCAATTATAATTAAATAATGTAAGTCTAAGGGAAAATGAGACTTGACTTAAGGACATTCAACTTGGGAACACTCTTGATGCACCAATTAGGTCCGCATCTTGGGGTCTCACTGTATTTTGTAGAGAAAAACCTTCAACTTGGGAGAGAACTTTGAGCATCTCAAAAATTCCTCAAACAGAGAAAATCTTTATAGACACGATTGTTGCACAGAGAGAGAGAGTCCACCTGCAGGATATAACGTGTATGTTTGATAAAATATTGGAAATGTACTAAAAATCTTGTCCAACAACAATGAATACATTATAAGTGGACTTTATCTCTCTCTCTTTCTCTGCAATGATTTTGTCTACATTAATTATATCTGTAAAAGGAATTTCTGCTTGGTCCCAAAGGGTTCTCTTCCCATGTAACAAGGGTTCCCTACAACAAAATCCTTCTTGTAATGTATTTTTTTCTGGTCCCTTGCATTTTGTTGTAGCAGGAGTCCGCCTGCACTTAAATCACAAAAATCTTCAAAAAAACCGCCCCCTTGAGAAAAACTCCATCTTCAAAATGTCACAACATAATCAAACTCCATGATTCATACAAAAAGTACCTTAATGGAACAAGAAACCAGTTACGGGAGAAAATCCGATCATTAGAAGGACATCAAGTCAAGCGAACACGGCATTAGGCTCTGAATTGCGTCAGAATCTTCAGAAATGGTCTCCTTGTAAGCTCTGGAATTATCTAGGGCAGAAATAATGACAACTCGTGTTGCCCGGATTCAACTTTTTTTTCTTCTTCAGCTAATGATTCAAAATGACTTCACTTCTTTTCCCGGATGATAACACGATTTCTTCTTGACATTTTCCAACTCACTCGCTCAGTCGAACGTCTATGTTGCCGACCCATAAGAGGGTTTTTGATTCTTCCATCATGACAAACCACTTTTCACTACATCCTACGTTTTCAGTCACTGAAAACAACAAAAAATATTCATCAGCACATTTTTTCCCCACAAGACAACAGTTTCCGCTTGTTGATCAAAAGGTCGCTTCCATACGTTTACTTCAAATCTCGTCATAAACCTGATTGATGAGTGCAATAAACACATGACTCAAGGTTCTCCCCTTTTTCAAAGAAGGCAACTCGTCAAAAATCCGCCTCTGAAAACCTCGCCAATCCCTAATCACCTCAAAAAAAAAAGAAACCTGGCAACACATTCATCCGGAAAAAATTCGAGTATTCGACCAAAAGAAAAAAAAAGTTTCTCGTCCAAGCACCACAAAAATAATTTCGCGGAAAAAGACCATTCAATCTAGAAAAAAAAAACTGCTACCATCGTTTGTGCAATTTTGCAAATCAAACTTTTTTTTACAACTATCCCAAAAAAATTGGAGAGGGACACGAAAAGCACAGTCGTTCTGCATAACATTTTTCTTCCTCATCTTTCAAAAAAAAAAAAAAAAAAAAAAAAAAAAAAAAAAACACTACATGCATAACATTTTTCTTCCTCATCTTTCAAAAAAAAAAAAAAAAAAAACAAACAAAAAAAAACTCCTACATTATAACTTCCCCCAAATCAAGAAAAACCCGCCACGAGCCTTGGGGAAAGGGAGGGGAAACAGGGCTTCATTTTTTCCCAAGAAAATCCCTCAAGGTGATCCATCAAAAATCGCGAAGAAAATTCAGCCAGAAAAGATGAATCGATGCCAACACGCATTCACCTAAAAAAATGCATCGGGTTAAAAAAAAAAAAAAAAAAATTGGGGGGAGTGACTTGATTTTTCCCTTTTTTTTTTTTTGCAGTTGAAACCAAAAGTTCCCCACCCGTCCCGAAACCGCGGTTCAATCTTAAATTTGTTTCACTTTCTCTCCTTTGATGACGGGATTGTTTCTGCGGATCTCCTCAGCCCCGTGCGAGCGGTAGTCAAAGTTGCAGTCATGCTTGTCACTGTAGCGGTGCATCGAGCAAAACAAGCCCCCACATCTACAACCGAACCCTGCAAAGAAAAAAAAAAGAATAGAAAAAAGGTAGATCACCGCATTTAATGCGATCTAGGCCACGACCCGATTTTCGGCATTCGTTCCAGACCACGCAAAAAAAAGACCATTTGTTGAAAAATAACATCGCGGCCAACACATGAATGAAACCAGGAATTTTACATTTTAATCGAAAATACCTTGCTTTGAAATCGAAAACTGATTTCTTGCAATTTTAGCCTTCAAAAATAATTCTCCTGCATGAAATAAAACACTTTTCTCCCAAATAGGCCGCATCTCGAGCAGAAATATTTTTAAACTTCTCCTTCTTCGTCATCGAAGAAAAGTGAAGACTTACGATACGGTAAAAATCAGATCGCTTGCAGAAATCATTGCCAAAACGTATATGCACAATTTTGACGCTGTAAAAAAAAACGACGATACACATCATGCCTCCGCCAAAAAATTACCCCGAGAGCGTTCTAACACATCACTTGTTTCTCAGGCCGTCTTCCGCAGCAAAACAGCCACGATGCAGAGAAGACTCTTGCGTCGCTACCAGACCAACGAAATAACACTCACAGAAATTACACAACAATAACACCTTTTTTCCTCTGAATCTTCCATTAGTTCTTCAACTGTTGAATGAACAAAGTTAGGTTTGCATGCATTTTCAAATGACTTCTAGAAAACTCTGAAATTCAACACAGTACAGGTGGACTCTTTTTCTCACAGGATCCATTTTTTTTTGCATCGATATTCCCAGCAACAGTACTTCATTTGAAGGCACTTATCAAAGATTCTGGAAAAAATCATCACGGGTTTTTTCGTCAAAATTGCACCCGTTCAAAATATTTGTGAGAGGGGGGAATAAAAGCATTCGACACTACAAACCTGTGAGGCCGACTTTCTTTTTGCACACCCCACAGCGGTTTTTCTTCTTCTTGTCAGACCCATCATCACTGGAAGCTCCCGATGCATCAACGGCGTCCAGGTCTGCACTAGAGGTAGCTTCTGCAGCACGGTTGGCAATGTCCTCATCGATTATGTCTGCACAGGCTACTGCTGCTGCACTGGCAACTTCTTCCGAATGCCCCTTCGTGTCGTCTTCCTTCTGCATCTGTTAAACAGCCATGAAAACAGAAGTTAATTCAAGTACAACAGCTCAGCTTGGGTGATATCTAACAGCTAATCAGGATAAACAGTTGAACTTCGAGGGACCAGCAGAACAAAATCGACCCGGGGAAGTTTCGAGTTGAAGAAAGAAGCATTTTTGTTGGAGAGAAGGAAAAAATTCAGGAAATTGTAATCGGGGATATTCTGCGCTTTTAATTGCTTCCTTAATGATTTGACAGGATGCTGGACGTAGAGGCAACTGATCATTTACCAAATTCGTCTCACTTCTTTTAAAAACACATCAATTCACATTTTTATTGCTCCTTTCTTTCCTGTGTCAATGAAATAATAGACAAAAGGCCTAAAGTAAATTCGAACTATGGAGGTTTCCCGGGAAAAGTCTTTTGAGTTAGGGTGGCTTTTGATGCATTGATTCCAAGGGAATGCAGACAAGGAAATGGACAAAAAAAATTGACATAGGGAAGTATTCGATTTATCGAGGTTCAAATGTACTGTATATAAATTAAAATCTCGTTACATCAAAGCCATTGGGACCAGTAAGATAACTTTGATACAACGAAAAATATGTGCTACAGAAACAGAAATAACACCGTGGATTTAAGACAGGGACCTTAAAAACGAACTCGTTGTAAGCGATTATTCGCTATAACGAAGATCTACTTTAAAATTAACCAAGAAAATATTCAGGCGACATATACACAAAAGTAAGAAAATTCCCTTAGCCAAGTATCGTGCCTCGAAGAAGCCTCCCAAGTAAAAACGCGGGACTCAAATAATTCCACATCAATGCGAAAGCACAAACAGTATCACAAATTGGTGACGGAAAATAAAACGATTCCCCACACACACACACAATTTCCTTTAAAAAAAAAAAAAATCTCACTCACACTTGCAGGAGAGCCCTGAGGAATCACGGGCGATTCCATCCTGGACTCGGTCGAGAACCCGGAAGACACGGACGACGAGGAGGCGGTTGAAGGATTCGCAGACGGCGGCGCCTGATGCCGCTTCAAGTAGTCCTTGTAGCACTTGGAGCAGTAGCCGTCTGTAGCTGTAGTCCCAAAGAACCCGCAACCAGATCTACACTGGATTGGCATCTGGTTGTTGCCTGGTGCTTCCATGCCCACCCGAGGATCCGCACTTTCCTTCCTCTGCAGACCAAACAGGGATCCTCGTTTTTTTTATTTCGGTCGCGGATAAAGTCAAAAGAAACCCCCCGGGGGAAAATTGCAGAGGAGAAAAAAGGCTCTGCTTCGAAGTAAACGCCACTTCAATCTTAATATCACTTGCGCACGAATTTTCAAGGTATGTCTGCAATAAAAAAATGAAAAATTCCTCATAAATTTCCATTTCAATCCACGTTCGAAAAATTTGCTCAGCAACCGTAAAAAAACATTTTATTCAATCGACGAAAAGTTGGCTAAAAAAAACCAGGAATCGAGATCATATTTCATCGTTATCATACGTTTCAACGAATTTTTCGAGAATGGAATTTTCCAAAGGAATTCTCAGACCTTCTTGACCATCGGATTTCCGTTTGACAAAACAAATAGACTCGTGGTCCACAAACTCCACAAGCTGATTCCGCAAAGCCGCATCTGACGTCACCAACATCTCATCTCGGCACATTTGGTAAAACTCACTGAAAGTGATTTCTGTTTTCGGGGTTGAAAGAAATCAAGAAAGAATTTCTTAGAATTCATCAGATTCCCCTGAAAAAAAAAAAAAATAAATGAACAAACCTTCCCCACCGGAGGACCTTTCCAGTTGATGTCGGGCGAGCAGAAAGAAGATCTTCTTGGTGTTCCTAGTCAGTGAGCAGAATAAGTGTTCCAGGGCAGCAAAAGCAGTCGAACCCTTAATGCCTCCTCTCGAACTCTTCTTGTTACTTCCTGAAACCCCGGTTCCAGTCCAACGGGTTTCCATCAGGTACGGCTCAAAAGTGTGGATCTTGACGGTGAGGAAATTGAGTGCTTCTTGCTCGGATACGGTGAACACTAGCCCCAAAAAAAAATCACACAACTTCTCCAGACTTGTTCGCAAAGTTATATTGATGGATTTCTAGTCTTCAAATTTAATTTGCAATAAGTTTCGAAAAAAATACTGGACAACCCAAAAATTGACGAAGGCCGAAAAAAAAGGACGTAGAACTTTTTTGAATCTTCTGACGAAAACTAGCAAACCAATATTCGTGATGACATTTTTCAACAGTTATGTAAAGCAGTTCTTACAAAATTCTGCTTCTTACGTGCAGGGTAATGAACATTGTCCACAGCGGCCAGGATGTGAATCCCTTTCATGGGAGCCAATTTCAACAACACATCCCTAAAGGTTTCCATGCGAGCAATGCTGGATTTCACACAGTTTTCCAGGCCATGAATGATAATGAAGACGTCGACATCAAAGGTGAGCTTCTGCTCCTTCGCCGAGGAGTCAAAAGTTTCTCTTATGAGGTCCAACTGTGCTCCCAATGCAGAAGGAGTAACTTTTTCCAGTATTCCTTCAATGATGGCTTTCAAAAGCTGAAAGAAAAAAAAAAAAAACCCCTCACTTCAGACATCAAAATTATAATATTTCAAATTATGGTGGGGACCCGAGATGCGGACGTAATTGGTGCTTCGACCTTGTCCGTATGTCGGATCTCATTTTCCTAGAGACTTCAATAGGAAAATATTCCATTTGTTCTCCTGTTCATCGAGAATTAGGAACAAAGTCCTCAAAAATTAAATACAAATTTTTCTCTCAACTTCAAGATACAGAAAATAAATGTAGAAAAGAAAACAACATCGAATCTGATCTTTTGGCATCAGAAGAAGCTCTAGGAGCCAAGAACAAAACATTTAAAAAAAGAGGAAAGTAAACCTGTTTTGATAATGAATCCGAGTAATTTCAAAATGAAATTCTTTTTCAATTTTTTGGAAAACAAATAGCTCCATGCGTTCAAGATATCAAAATTTATAAAAGTAAAATTTTTCGGCTTCTCTATAAATGCTGGAAACGTTTCCATATCTCGATATATTAACTGGAAAGTGACGAGATTATCTGGGAAGTGTCCCTAAATCGAATCGTATTCTAATGAGATCTCCAACTCACCAGTTTCACATCAGCTTGCGGTAAATACCCGTTGAAGTGAACAATGTTTGACTTTCTGCCCAGAAGTTTCTTGAATTTCGTCAGAACAGGAAGTTTCGAACCCAGTCCGGTCAACAGGATATTCCAGCCGAACCTGCTCATTCGAAAAAATCAACAAAATTAAGAAATTTACATCACAAGAATAAAAAATAAAATAAATCCATCACTCACCTCATATACGTTAGCCATTGTAGAAACTGAATATCTAAATTTTCCGTAAGAGCAGCGTGTTCAACTGGGTGAGTATTTGATATGGACATCTTGGAAACTTCTTTCGCTATGAAATTTGCATCCAGCTGCTGCATTTCCAGGCCCTCGAGAGTTTTCCCAGACATTTTCACTTTCTTCTTCGAAAAGCAATACGGCGTCCGTCTTTTCTCCTGCAGACAAGCATTTGTTTAAAAAAAAAAACCAACCGCTTTTATTCTGGAGAATGAACTCACCGTTTTTGAAGACATTTCTACGCTGTGTTGGGTTTGGTCTTCTTTCTTCTTCCTTTTCTTGGCAGATAAAATATGATCGAGTTTTCCATCCGCTGCATCGCTACTTTCTTCGTCTGAATCATTCTTCGCCTTCCCAGATTCATCATCATCATCACTAGGTTCCAACTCCTCGTCATCATCGTCGTTTCCTTCGGGAACGTAATCATCGGAACTCGCATCGTCTGCGAATGGGTCTTCTTCACTCTCCGAATTGGGTTCTGCAGCTGACAATAATTTCCAAAAAATCGAGCCTCGTTTCACATCAGAAATACGAATAGCTTTTCTGCAATTAGCTCACATAAATCGCGTTGCTTTTTCGCAGAAGAAAGAATTTTGCTCGTTCGAGGAGTACGCTTTGGCGGAGTTCCGACACGAACAGCATCTAGAATACGGCTGAAATCAACCGAAGCTGGAAAAAACGTACCAAAAATAAACACACACACAAGCATGTTCATTTTCAAAGAGTGTCCGTGAGAAAATTGTGATCAATTTAATGAATTTCCGGCTCTGTCCATCACTAAGGCACATCTTCCCTGTGTGAGATGTCACTAGCAATTACACTCGCATTCAAATTCTACCAGTCTTATGCTCTCATCATTAAAAAAAAATGGAATTTTTATGAAAATTTTGAACACTTTGAAATGTCCTTCGCATGAATAATCTTTTCGGACACCCTATAGAAACAGAATAAATGAGAAAAGCAATGCGTGGAAGAATTTTTCCAGCAACTGCAGTACTGAGAAAAAAAAAAAAAAAACTTAGATGATCCTTCTGAACATGACCTGGAGCTTTTCCTGGGAAAAAATCATTCACTAAACGTCTACTGCATTGATGAAGTTCACGAAGAAGACTTAATTTCGAAGCTAATGTTAGCTAGGACATTTTAAATTGTTGAAAATGAAGGAATAAATAAAATAAAAACTGCGCGACGCATAATTACATTGACAAGTTTCGGAAACCTTTCATAATCAAAGATAGTCTAATGACAAAAATAAATTCGATACGAAGAACGTTCTTTAGAAGCGGACTTCGATCTTTCTTCTTGGTTACGTAAAGCATAAAAACGATCAAATTTCTCGGAAGTTGTCATCTACTCAAGAAAACCCTCGCATACAAGGAAACTAAATGATAACATAACTATGGTACGAACCTGGGGAATCTTCGCGGGCTTCTCCAGAAATCGACGAAATATTTCGATAAATACTTCTTGATTTTCCTGCGAATTAATTTTTTCGAAATCAGGTATTTTCGTGGATCTGAATTTCAGAAGGAACACACGTTTCGAGGTAGTTGGGAGCACATTTCGAACATCAAGGTTCCCGTCGTCATCGAAATTATTAGTCTTGACCATTTCGACGAATCCGCAGCAAAAATTCAGCTGGATTTGAAGGTCTGCAAATAAATGAATACAAATTGCGTGAATTACGTAAGAATATTCAGGAGGCCGGACGGAATTATGAATCGAATCTCAGTGGTAGTGACGAAGTCTGAATCATTGCTATCATTTAGAGAGAGTTGAGCATCATTTAGAATACCGTTCATCACAAGGCAATTTCATAAAGCACTCACCAAAATCGCACGTAGCCGGGTTTCTTCAGTCTGGATAATTTTTTTTATCTGCGAAAGAGAATGAGAAAATTTTCAAACATTTAACATGCCAACAACAAAAAATACAAAATCTGAGTTAATACAGCCAGAAATGCTGTTTTCTATAAATTTCAGACTATCCGAGCTTTCCTCAACAAAAATACACATGGTGCTTTTGGTGAGAAACATTTCTTCAGTGAACGAATTCAACCAACGTATCATGAATTTCCTCGCAGTCTTCGCTACCAAATATTTTCTAAAAATGAAAAATCTTGAGAGAATGAACACAGACTCAATATAAGTCTTGTTACTAATCATCCAATGTTTTGAAAAATGCAGACTGAAGAACTTCAAGTACCTCCAGAAGCTTATTTCAAGGCCCTGACAAAATTTCACCGTCATCCGGCATTTATATCACGTTTTTCAGCTGCAATAAACAATTTTAAAATCTACTCAAGCAACAAAAAAATCAAGATGACCCATCAACTCACCAAGAATTCGTAATCCAGATGAACCACAGCAATGCCCTGTTTAAGAAGAAGAAATAAGAAATGATGAGCTTATGGTCCACGAAAAACACAGATGAATTTCCAAAAATTCGAATAATGATAATCAGCGGTAGTGACGAATGTGTTGAAAACTCCACGAAAAATTCTCAGTAACACGAATAGTATCCATCATATTCACTATCAACCAGAGATTGTAAAAATGTCTCACCTGAAATGGACGTCGCAGTTCACAGCACGGCGAAAAACGACTTTCGCGGGCTAAAAACACATTCCTGCAAAGCGTCAGAGACGCAAATTAAAAAGTAATCGACCCAGAAATTTTATGGAAATCATTTGGATTCCTTTCACTTGCGACTCGAGGGATTTTACAGCTCTTCAACAACATAAAAAGTTCATTCGCATCCACACATTAAAGACTTCTATTTTCTCCAAACCAAATCCGTTTTAATTGCAAATACACGGATAATTTTTGAACCAGTCCAGCATTTCTTCAAATGCAGCAAACGTACATCTCACGGTGTAAAAAATTAAAAAAAAGACTGCGAAAGGGCAAGAGTGGTACTTAACCGTTAGGTCTATTTGGCGTTGTCGTCGGATAATTTTTGCCCCTTTACTCTTTGCAATCGAGGCAAAGGTCCAGTTACTTTGTGTCGGCGCACTTTAAAGAGCTTTTACTTCTCAAAAATCAGCGGTAGTGACGAATGTGTTGAAAACTCCACAGAGAAATCTCTCAGTAACACAAAAAATATCCATCATGTAAAACACCATTTTCAATACAACAGCATTTTTTTCCTTTCCAAAATTTCTCACCTGATGAGAAAGCGCAGCGCAGTTCAGCTCACTCAACACAAAACCAGACTCGAACACTTTCCAAACACATCCCTGCGAATGAACGAAGAGAACACACACAAAGCTGTGAAGAACTCCGACGTTTTGATTTTCTCATCATTAAACAAAAAATCGGTTTCCTCCACCAGGCAATAAGCACACACGGGGACTCTGTTGCTCCGTCGCAACACACACAAGTCAATAGCTTTCACACTGTCGAGAAGAAGAAGGAAGTTCCCAACTCGGAGAAGCCCAGGGAGCCCTTGTTACTTCAGAAGGACTACAATAGGTCCGGGTTTATGTTGTACCAGTGAGAAAGATTAGGTTAGGGAGGAGGTCGGTGTGGAGGACATCCGTAACGGAAGGAATCCACATACGGCTTGATCTTATCCAAGCTCACGTTATGCAACGCGGCTCTTTCCGCCAATAACTTGGGATCGTGGATCCTCTGGGCCCCAGAAATGATCTCCTCGCCGCGCATAAACATGTCATAGGAATTTGAGTAACGAGGGTCCTGGGGATCCGGCATTGTGTAAAACGGACGCACCGCCAACGGGAATTTGTCCAGGATGTAGAAATCCGTGCAGTACTGATCATGAAAAGAAGCAAGTACTTTAGAGATTCAAGTACACACAATCAAACCCAATTAAGACACCACCCTCAGCAACCGCCTCTCCATTTAAAAAGAAAAAAAAGATTAAAGCATTGGAAACCCCTTAAAAAGCCATCTGCCGAAATTATTCAGGACTCGAATACGCTCCTGCCAATTATTTCGTCTTTGATAGCCCGCCAAAAAATGCGAAATGATTTACTTCTTGTGAACATTAGCTGAATATAATTTACGCATCCCAGGGTTATTCTGATTGTTTTCTAAAAGAATGCACATTTAATTTCCCTTTACGGTATAACTAATTTTCGTATTACTGTATTTGATGAACCATAAACACCTGGCGGACAATCATCGCCTTCAAAATTAAGCTCACCTTGGCTTTCACGAGTTTTCCTAGTAGCTTTTCGTTGGGTGTACTCAAGTCTTCTTCGTCGCCCGTTTCGACCCCGGCTTCCCTCAACATGGCAACACCTTCTTTGAACTCCAGCCTCAATGGAGGATCCAAGAACTGAAACGGTTCAGCTGGGTACTGCTTATTCACAGCCGCGATTTCCTCGGAATATCTGATGAGAAAATTACATCACAACCCGAATCATGTCAATGTCGGCGAGAATTCACTGAAACATGTTTTCATTTCACTTCAACATCTGACCTTGTCGTCTGAAGGAAAAATTCTGATATCAGCTCTCGGAACAAAAACGACAGTATTTGGCAAGCGAGTACATTCAAACTTTCAGGGCAAATTTCAGCGATTCACTAACTCGACTGACGACATAAAAATTTTAAAAATGTTCTCTCAGGATGACACACTTGTTTCCCTCCGATTGTTATCAGTTTAAAATACAATAATTGTTCGATAAAGCCTCTATTACTTCGTGTCCAGGTCAAGAGTCTTCGAAATTTTCTTCGTCTTCTCCCAGGCGCAAAAAACGTACGCCCTTAATGTAGCCAAATAACATTTTCACTTGAGAGACACGAGCACCTTTTCTTCAAAATTAAATAGAAAAACGGGGATGCACGTCATAGTCAGATATAACATTTTAAAAAATTATATAAGCTTAGGTACGCGTCACACGCTTGAGAATACAATGAAAATTTTTGACAAAACCTGTTTTGCACCAAAGAATTGAATTCCTGTCAAAATTTGAATTCGAATGTCTCTCATGTTTGAAATACTGTATCGCAGTCTTTTAGTCACAAAATTTGGTGCACGTCTTACTCGAGGACAGAATTTCATCAAAATTTTAGGGCGAAATATTAGACGGCACGCGGTATTTGAGAATGAAGGGAATTTCACATTCTATTGCCTTTCTTGGGGCTTGAGTTTTGCTATAAAATCATTAATCCTTAAGCTCTGGCCGCGGATAACTGAATCAAAATTAATCTTCGTTGATCTGACTCGACGGAACCCAGAAAAAGTGAAAAAAAAAATCTAGTGAAACTGATTACATGTACTTACTGATCAGCTAGACCGCGGAAAATAGCATTGAACATCTGTCCAATGACGTCGACGACTTCGTGGTAATGGTAATGAAACGCCATCTCGAGATCGAGACCGACAAACTCCGTCAGGTGACGATGTGTGTTGCTATCTTCCGCGCGGAAAACGGCGCCGATCGTGTACACTTTCTCGAAATCCGCCGCGATCGCCATTTGCTTGTAGAGCTGAGGACTTTGCGCCAAATAAGCAGAGTTCTTGAAGTAAGTCACTTCGAAGACATTCGCACCGCCTTCTGAAGCCACAGCGATGATCTTCGGTGTGTTGATCTCAACAAAACCCTGGCGTTGAAGTGCTTGGCGGAACAGTTCGCAAACCCCCATTTGTATCCTATTCACAAACATTCGATGAGAAATCACATCGAGAAAAGATGACACTGAGAAATTACGAAGAACTGGTTATTCCTTCTCTATCCTGGGTGAAATGGCTTCCGGTAAATGACTGATGCACACACATAGGAACACGATCTAAATTGGTTGATAAAGTGAAGTACAGTACTGTACATGGATCTACAAAAATCGCAGAAGTAATTCACGGAATTCCACTACAAGAGGCACAATCATCATCCACGTACGCCAAAATAGAACGACCAACGTGTGGAATCAGCTACCAAATGATATTCTTCGAACAGTCCCAGGAATTTACCATTGTTCCACAGTCGATCAACAAAAATCGCCCAAAGTTTCATTGCACTATCTTGAATTAAATCAAAGAATCCACATCAATGACAAGACAGCGAAAATACCTGAAAATTGCCTGATTCGCAGGGGTGCGAAGGTCCAAAACGCGGTTGTCAAGACGAGTGTCTTGATTAACTCGGATGCTCGGACCATCGCCTTCCTCGAGCGACGATTCTGAGCGAGCTGCGTCTTCAATTTGCAATGGGAGCACGGGCTCCGCTGCACTCACTACGAATGCTTGCTCAACGTGGAGCTCGACTTCTTGCTGAGAACAGCTAACGATTTTCTGATCCGTTTTCCTCACAACACCTTGCACGTCCAGAAGCGACTCTTTCGTTACACTACGAACAATATTGAACTTTAGGATCTCATACATCGCCTGAATATTATGGTCGACTCACTTACTTCGAAAGAAATTTCACCATCTGCTTCGAAACACTCGCAGAAACCATCGCAAGACACTGCACTGAGAAGTGCTGCTGGCGTAGAACGAAGAAGCACTGCTTTCCTGGATTGAAATATTTGACCTCACCCGCAAAAATGCATCTTTATCACTTCAGATTTTACCTTTACATCACGAGAGAACCGATCCTAACAAGAGTTCTATCTGGCTTCTCGATAGATGTTATCAAAGGCAGTACTCCATAGCGACCTTCGGATATATCAGGTTGATCACCACCGTCTCCTTGTGCGCTTGTCTACGAAAATGGAAAATCTACATGACAGTGGAACCTTGCATAGTCATTCAGAAATTTTTGTGTTTACCACTTGCTTCTCAGCCTTTTTCGCTACTTTCTCGGCTTCTTTGGCTTGCTTCTTCATAGCTTTCTTCGACGGACCTTTACCCTGCTCCGTCACAGAAGCACTACGGATCAAGAACAAATCTTCATACTTCATGCTAAGAATTCTAAACGGAAATTACGGGTTACTAACGCATTCTCTGTTTCGTCCGTCATTGGCGCAGCACCACCGTCTTCACAGCTCGAATGGAAGCGTTAATCCTTAATTTTAAGGAGAAAAAACTCAGTTTTGGTATCAAGTATGCGCAGATAATGAGAGACACATTTTAAATGAAATTCAACTGATGGGTCACCGAAAAACATTTTGCGAATCGATGCGTTACATCACGAGAATGATGAAACAGTTTTCAGTTTGTTAGAAGATGAACAAAGATTCACGATTTCCTTCAGCGCTCGTCATAATTTAAATGAGCATCACTAAGCACATACAGTACTCTCGAGCGATTAAAATGATCACAGATAGCTTCACACTGCTCTAATGACGCGTGGAATGTCAAGCGCGCAATTATTGGTCCAACAACGCGTGCAAGTAATAGGACTATCGGATCACCGCCATCTTGTCTGAAATCGCAGGAGCAAGTGAAGTACTTGCTCAAAGAGCAACTGAGTCGCGGTTATCATATACTGTACTGTATATGATAACAGTACAGTGCAATACTGTACAATAGTTCTCACGAGAGAACCGATCCTAACAAGAGTTCTATCTGGCTTCTCGATAGATGTTATCAAAGGCAGTACTCCATAGCGACCTTCGGATATATCAGGTTGATCACCACCGTCTCCTTGTGCGCTTGTCTACAAAAATGGAAAATCTACATGACAGTGGAACCTTGCATAGTCATTCAGAAATTTTTTTGTTTACCACTTGCTTCTCAGCCTTTTTCGCTACTTTCTCGGCTTCTTTGGCTTGCTTCTTCATAGCTTTCTTCGACGGACCTTTACCCTGCTCCGTCACAGAAGCACTACGGATCAAGGATAAATCTTCATACTAAGAATTCTAAACGGAAATTACGGGTTGGGTTACTGACGCATTCTCTGTTTCGTCCGTCATTGGCGCAGCACCACCGTCTTCACAGCTCGAATGGAAGCGTTAATCCTTAATTTCAAGGGGAAAAAACGCAGTTTCGGTATCAAGTATGCGCAGATAATAAGAGACACATTTTAAATTAAATTCAACTGATGGGTCACCGAAAAATATTTCGCGAATCGATGCGTTATATCACGAGAATCATGAAACAGTTTTCAGTTTGTTCGAAGATGAACAAACATTCACGATTTCCTTCAGCGCTCGTCATAATTTAAATGAGCATCACTAAACACATACTCTCGAGCGATTAAAATGATCACAGATAGCTTCGCACTGCTCTAATGACGCGTGGAAAGTCAAGCGCGCAATTATTGGTCCAACAACGCGTGCAAGTAATAGGACTATCCCTAGTGGCGGTAGAACAGACTTTAGCGTCCTCGTTCACTTCATGAACGAGTTTCTCGTTGACTCAGCGCCAATAGTATATGACATGACATATACTATTGTCATGTCACGTTATGACATGTTATCAAGTGTGCTGTACTGTACGCTTAAACTAGAAGAAATGTACACAGCGCATCAGGGAGAGCATCTGATGTATTGACTTCTTCAAAGGCCATACAATAAAAATCGAACTATTCAAATCACTTCTGAATTATGACCTATAAGCATCTGAATCACGATGCCATGTATAGTCATCCCTCATCTTGCTGGTGAAGGCGAAAAAATAATTTCTAGCAAAAAGTTCAACAATAAGACATATGCATCCCATAAACACAGTAAGCATCCATAAAAGGAAGCAAGGTGCAGCAGTGACACTATGCCTCCATAAATCCTGTGTAATCCTTGTATATTTTATCACAGTTGCAAGACAAAGAGGGAAAACTTTCTAAGCTCTTTGAAAGATGTATCAGAGAACTATAAACTTCCATGTCAGGCATGTTATACAGCAGAGTTTGCCAGAGGATTTGTTTCTGAAGACTCCTTGGAGTTTTCATGGTTGATTGAAACAACACTCTGCTTCTTTGGGACTGGGGCATTGCCTTTGTCCATCCTAGGTGTCACTCTTGCAAGATCTTTTCTGGTGATCATCCCAACCACCTGAAAGAAAATCACATAAGAAATTCAAGTACAGCAGTACATTACTTTGTTCATAAAAATAACGGCCATTATATAAAACTCATCCTTACTTGAGATGAATCAATCACAACCAAATGCCTGAGACCAAGGCCTCTGAACAGTTGATAAGCCCTTGGAAATGATTCCTCCTGTGTAAAATAGGAGTATGGAATATATTTTATCTAGATTCAGAAATACTATCCATGTGTCAAGTCCTTACTGGGCTAACAGTATTAGGAGCAGGGTTCAAGTAAGGCTGCAGGTCCAAAGTGTAGCTCAGTTCTTTTGAGCTGAACATTCTTTTCTGAAATGAAATGAAGACATGAGAAAAATGCCTCCAAAAATCTTTGAAAGCATAACCCACATCAACTGTTCCATGACAAGGATAGGCATCTTTGAAGACAGACAAGGGCAAATGGGCACCTTCCTCCATAACCTCCCTGAAGGCCTTTTTCTGCATGAGAACCAGCAACTGACTCCAGCTGATCAGTCCCAAGAACTTTCCAAATAAACCCTCTGAAATCTGTATTTTTAATTCATGCTCATCAGTATTTATATTCAGCACAAGAAAATATTTAAAAAATTACAAACATCACTTGTTCCTGGTTCCACAACAGGAAACCCATGGTGTGAACAAGTGGCAAGTGTTTCAACCAAGTTGCTCAATTTCACCACAGGAGGCAAAGTGACTACAGGTTTGCTCATCACATGTCTAGACTTCACACAATGCAAAAGGGCTGGAGGACTCCAATTCAGCACTGGGACCCCCTCCAATTCTATGTGCAAATCATATATGCCCTGTATATAGTAATAAAAGAGTAGTAAGTGATTTAGATAATTTCAAATCATTGTGCATACAGATCTTACTTTATTGAAGTGGTCACCAACAATCTTTGCTACCATCAATGTCAACATGATAGGAAGTCCAAACTTGACATTTGAAGTAGCTTCCACCAAAATTAAAGTCAAGGAAAGAGTCATCCTCACAACTCCTCCAAGATGAGCTGCAGCTCCTATTAGGGAGTACTTGCCTGGGAAGAACATTTTACCATGTCCCTATAATGGTATGTTGAAGAGATCTTTAAATTCATTTGAATTCAGCCTTTTTCAAATGAAAGAACACATACTGGAAAAGTAAATTCTGCAAATCTGTTGATACCAGCTCCAACAAATCTCCCCCAGATTGCACCAGTGAGGAGGGAAGGAATGAAGAGCCCACTTGGAATTGAGAGCCCATATGTCCATGCTGCCAATGACTGATATGAGATGAAGTAGATGCTCAAAGCCACAAGGGAATCTTCATAAAAGAAAAGCATAGTTCACTTAAATACCCTCATCCCAAATATGAATCACCACCTCTTGATTTTATTGCATACCCTCTCCTGTCTTGTGAAAAAGCCACTTGACATTTTCTTCAGCACTCTGGAAAAACATGGCTGCAATGGCATTGTAAGAACCATTTGGACAAAACATCTGCAGATCTCAGATCATATGAATCATTCATTCCAAATAATAAGGTATATACATGCGTAGTCAGGTTACCTGTGCATAAGGTGAAGCATGTCCTGAGGTCAAGTCATCCAACTTGACCAGATTCTCTGGCACTGATGCAGACCCATTTTCACTATTCAACTTCCCCACACTTGGTACAAAATTGTCTGCAGGTTGCTGACTGGTGTAACATATGTTAACAGAGTAGGACAGTCCATATCCTACCAAGGCTGTGACAGCAGCCACTCCAACAGCCTCCATCACCTTTTGCCATTTTTTGGTGATGTATCTGATGACAAAATAATGAATAAATGGAGTATTGGATGATTTTGGATTGAATCTCCAAACTGAGCCTCACACTTTGCGCAGTACATTCAGTGAGACATTGATGTGATTTTGTGCAGCCCCAATAAGGCCACCAAAGACACCCATGAATAGGAAGATGGGCAATTCTAGAACATGGAAGGAAAGCTCCTCTTTGAAGTTTCCAAAAACAAGAAGCTCCTGGTAGGACAGGTCCCCTGCAGAGATGTGATGAAAAACTCATCATAAGCATGTGCAAAATGTCAAAGGCAGTCTATTGAAATGTATCTCACCAGGGACTCCATAGAACAGTGACAGAAGGTTATGGAGAAATAAGGCAGCCAGCATAGCACACAAAAATATCTGCCACACCAAGGTGGGGTTCCACCAGCTGATACCTTCCTCAATGCTGAATAGTACCCCTCCTATGTGGCAACATAAATCAATGGTTATAGTCATTATTTAGCAACAGAATGTTGGTACCTTGCAATTCAACAACCAACAATTATACCATCCTGCAGTTCGGTGATGAAATTTGCTGGGAGGTTGACTTACAAATTGACCACTGCCAAACAATTGGATGTGCAGAGGGATGCAAAACATCAAATTTTATGTAGAAAACATAGCATGTGATGTTGTATAGAAAATTCAACAACTTCATAATTCAACCCCAGCCTGGCAATGGGTTAGGGTTGAATAATTACAGCTAAGGTTACCACCTCTAACATCCTGAGCATTAGGACACCAATAAAGGGATGGGTGCTTTAAAGGGGGAAGTTTTTAAACATTTGAGCTAAACCTTTTTGTAATTTTCTTTTCAAGGATAGAGAAAAAATTAAAATATTATTCAAAGTACTATACCCAGTGGAGTTCCAAAAGCAGATGCCACTCCAGCTGCTCCACCTGCAGCCACAAATTCTCTTCTGTTCTTATCATCTCTTAGAGAGTCCATATATCCCTTAAGTGACCCTCTGCGCATTCCCAGCCCTTGGGCTATCCCTGATGCTACTATCGCTCCTGTATGTATCATTGGTCCTTCCTGAAACACAAATTTTTTAAACATGGATGCATTAAACTGCAAATGAACTTGTTGAAAATTAAAAGGCTAAGAACATACAGTAGAATGCAATTTCAGAAACAAAGAAAAGACTCAAACTTCAATAAACCCCACAACAAGTTGAAAACTGCATGTGTCACAAATTTTGTGTCTTAATTCAAAAATTGTCTAGATTAAACCATTTGCATAAGTGGAGTTTGTTTTTAAGCATAGAAATCCTTGACTTAATAACAATCAGAAAAAACATTGATGATGAATCAACTTAAATTCACCTTTCCAACAGCCAAGCCTCCAGAAACTGAACAAACAATCCCCAGAACTTTGATGAAAAGGGTCCTGATTCTAACAAAACCAGGCATCTTGATTCCATTCAGGTAACACTTGACTGGAGGGATCCCACTTCCACTGGTGGCAGGCTTGAAATGGAAAAGAAAGTTTCACATTTTCAATTTATGAAATAATCATTCTTGACATCTTACCTCTACAAAGGTTGTGAACCAGCTGGCAACAAAAACAAATGTGCAGTTGAACAGGATCCATATCAGGGGAGGAAGCCAGAACATACATTGATCCACCATACAGAAATCAACATCTAAATGAAATGAAAAAATGTAAATCATTTTTAAATTAGAGAAGAGTGTTTCAAAATATAAGATAGTGTATAGCAGACACACTTCTGCTTATATATCCAATTATATATTATTCTGCTTACATTCTCCAAAAACTACTGATGAGATCAGGTGAAGAAAAACTCTGATTTTACAACTAATTTTTGCTGAAGATTTTGTAGCTGTGTAACATAGGGCATAATTCTTTAACTTCAGCAACTAATCTCAAAATGAGATGTCTTGTTTGTTTTAAGAAGCAAGTCTGGAACATTTTCAACAAATATGGGCAAATTTGTGAAGCAACTCAAGGATTTGAATGTACTTATATTCAGTTATTCTGTAAAGTCAAGAAACATGTAAATGTAAAAAATGCTATTTTGATTAATTGAAATGATGCAACTTGCTTCCACTTCTCTTTTCTTTTTCCATGCTTGAACCTGGCTCAGCAAAAATCTGAGGGATGGTTCAATATCCTTGATTTTGTTGTGAAATACTTTATTACATCACATATATTTTATTGATGAAATAACAATACAATAATGAAATATGATGAAATTTTTTTATTGATGACATATATTTTATTAACCTTGAAAAATGAGAGTACTGTATACAAAACAGTATGTGTAGCTTCATTCATAAATGAAACACAAACTGGAATGACAAAAAGGATAAAAAATAATATTCTTGTGTTATTATAGTGTACATATATGAAAACTTGAAAGAAATGTATACCAACATGTTTTGATGAGAGAGAACTTGAAATCCACAATGGTATGTATGAGCATGTGAGCAATGGCTCCCACAATGGCAGTGCTGACTCCAACCAGGCCCATGAGCAGCCATTTAAACACTGCCAGTCTGATCTGGTAGCCATGTGTCAACATCTTCTCATGCTCCAGAAACACAGCACTCTCCCAGTCATCATAATTTAGGCTCTGGGAAACATCAAAAACCTCAACACATGCCCTGGTTTTCTTTTCTATATTCTTCACAAAGCTGACCTCATATTTCCCTGACAGGAACTTTGGTCCATCAAGGTCCACATTGCTCAGCACTTCCAGCTCCAGACCCTCTTGCCAGGCTGGTACCTAAATAGAAAAAACCCCCCCAGCAGTACAGTTTTTCACAGAAAGCAGACTGAAGATTATACTGTTTCAACATTTAAACATAAAAACATATCATGACCAAGAATCATGATCCTTCAAAAAATTCCAGAAAGTATAAGGAACAGCTAAAAAGCTATATTTCCTGCTGGAAATAAAACCACTGCCAGTTATTTCTAGAAATGCCAGGAGCTAAAAATAGTTGAAGAAATTACTTTGGAAGATGGTCTCCTGATGTCAAGGTGTTGTGCCATCTCAGGTGTCATGCCTGCTTGTCAGGTGTCAACCCATGGTGGTGCCACCAGACGTTTCACAGTCCCTTTGTGCACTTCACACCCACAAAAAAAAAACACAGGTGCCTTATTCCATTCAAAAAGGTTTTTCTGCCATAAATCCCAGAGATTTATTCATACAGTACTTGCAAATAACTAATTACAATTTTCTTGAATGGACAACATTTGTGGTTTGTTGTTCTGAACATTGGCTGTTGTATGTTATATTGAAAGGGTTTGAGATGAAGTTATTTTAACATCTGGCTTTAATGAGTACATTTGCACAATGCATCAAAGATTTAATTTGCAACATATGTGCACTTTGTTCACACCTGCAAAAAACATGGCTGCTTAATTCCATTCAAAAAGATTTTCTTGCCATAAAACACAGAGGTTTACTCATATTTGAAAGTAATTGATAGCAATTAATATTCCAGAAAGAATAAAACTTGTGGGTGGGTGTTTTGAACATGGCCTGTTGTACAGGGTGGCCCAAAAAAAGTGAACCGATTTTTGAATTACTATATTTCTGTTAAAAATTAAGCTGCAGCAATGAAAAACCTAAATGAAAGCTTATTAAATTTCCTTTCAGATAGCTTTTGATTTTATAGTTCTGAGGTGCCATTGCATGGCCATAAAAACAAACACCTTCCAAAAATTTGTGTCAGGCAGCAACAAAAATTATGCTGTTGAATCTCAATAACATTTGGCATCAAAAATACACATTTGGACAAGACATCATAGATTTAATTTGCAACAAATGTGCACTTTACATTCACAAAAAATCAATTGTCTTATTCCATTCAAATAAAAATTCCTGCCATAAATCAGAGTTTTATTCATATTTAAAAATAATCAATTTCAAAATTCCAGGATTAACCAATTTTCAGAATATTGGCTGTTGTATAATGCATATGTTTTTGAAAGGGTATCAGATGAAGTTATCTCAATAATATCTGGGTTTCATGTGCACATTTGGACAATAAATCAAAGATTTGTTTTCCAACAGATGTGCAGCACTTCACACACACAAAAAAACACAACTGCCTTATCCCATATTCAGCAATTTTTTTTCCTTTCATAAATCACAGAGATTTATTTATATTTGAAAATAATCAATTTCAATTTTCCAGGATGAACCAATTGTTCATAGAATATTGGCTGTTGTGCTGCATATATATTTTTGAAAGGGTATAATAAGATGAAGTTATCTCAATATAATATCTGGCTTTCATGTGCACACTTGGACAAGACATATGAAAGATTTAATTTGCAACAGATGGATTGCCACAACGAGGGAGATTTGCGCGATTGAGTACTGGCATCATTCACATTGGACACTTGCCCAACCCCTTCAAGTAGATAGTGACGATCCCTGGGCTGTCCAGGTGGGAAAAGTTTCTTGGCAGCCATCATAGCGTGTGCCCACAAAAGTGCGAGATGTTTGTTTTGCAAATATATTTCGCATTGGTTCCACATCACCCACCGCCCCCTTTTTTTTCTTCTATTTTATTTTATCTGCAGCTGCTGCTGCTGAGGGTTGAATCAAAGGAATTTTTGTCATTCTGCAGCAGAAAATAAAAAAAAACTTTAGAAATAGATATGAATATTGGGTAGCATGTATATATGTGTGTGTGTGTCAGCTTAACATTCCGCTCACAAGAGAGGGACGCTTTGCAGAATCCAATTTCCAGAGTCGAATTCCTCCAGGAAATTCTTTTTCTCATTGTCAGAGTGTCACCGTGGAATATTCCAGTAACAATGTCACGTGTTTTCCTTCTGGCTCTGAACTGAATTTAATGAGGCACAAATTTTGGGGAATAAATCCAGGATTTTTGCAGTGTATATGGATTTTCTTGGATCCATATGGTTTATGAATTAATGAAAAAATCTTTACTCAGCAGAAGCGCCTGGCTTTCTTGTTGTTGTTTTTTTTTCATTTAATGGTTGGACACACACAAATGTGTATTTTGAGTACAATCTTGTTGCTAAAAGAATTTGTTGGGGACTGCAGAAAAAGTTTGTTTATTACTGAATAGTTTTCTACATTTTCTAAATTAATTACAGCAAACTACTTTCACATCAGACCTTCCTTTAATCAGTTATATCTTACTTTTCTGACATTCTTACATTTTTTGTTATTGCTTTAGTAACTGAGTGATCTTTAAAAAAATAAGTTCAAACATGTATTTCACCAGTTGGACAAATCTCTTCATTTTTGGGAGGATTATATGGAAAACAACTTGGAAGCAAGTTTATTGTCCTTGATTACAGCTTCCATTCATGCTATACAAGAACCAATCAGTTACATTTGGGATCAGATATTTTAGACTATGTCTGCCTTATATCAGGAAATGTGTAGCTGGAAAATCTATTAAGCATTCATCAGAAAAGTTTGTTATATACTGTACTGGAATTGGGAAGTTTGCTGTAATGGGATTTTTTCAAAAAAAATACATGGGCTTTCTTCTTGAACTGGAAAAAAGGATTGTGATACTGAAAAAAAATTGTTGAAAGGGAAGTCTCTGTAATGTGAGATTTTAGTGAATAACTATATTTCCATTCATCCCTTAGTCAGGAAAGATCTACTTTAAAAATCTATTGAAAATGTTTCAAAAAATTTGGCACACTGGAATTAGGAAGTCTTTTTCAAGATTTTTTTAAGGTCACTTCTATATAGGCTTTCTGTCAGGACTGGAGAAAAAGCTTGTCACCCTGGAATTTTGTTTGCATGGGCACTTTTTTAATGAAATTTTATGATATACCTATATATATTTCCATCTATGCTAAAAGAAAAAATCAGTCAAATTTCAGATCAGATATTTTCAAACTATTTTACTTCCTTAGTCAGGACAATTTTAACTGAAAAAAGCTATATTAAAAGTTTAAAAAAAGTGTGTTATAGTGAGACCTCAATATGCGGACACCCCAACATATGGACAATTCGACTTAGGGACACTTGAAAACCAGAAACAAATAAGGCCCAACATCTGGACATTGTCCCAACTCCCAAGTTAGGGACATTTTTTCTGAAATTTTCCCAAAAAATTGAAACATTTTATTTGTTATTTTGATATCTTTTGAACAAATCAAGCTATTTAAATTTTAACAAAAATTAAAAATATTTCATTATAAATTCAAGCTAATATCCAAAATCAAAAGCAAGCTGATTTTGTGCTATTTTTTCAGAGTTTTTCTATCATCTGTGCACATTCTAGCAGGACTTCTTCTTTTCTTTGCTTTTTGATCTCCTTTTTATAAAAACAGATCAGATTCTATGTGCTTTCATTCTGCACTGTTATTTCCTACAACTTGAAGTTGAGGAAAACAGTTTTAATTAAATTTGTTGAGGACTTCTTTCTAATTTNAAATTTTTCAAAAAATTTGGCACACTGGAATTAGGAAGTCTTTTTCAAGATTGTTTTAAGGTCACTTCTATATAGGCTTTCTGTCAGGACTGGAGAAAAAGCTTGTCACCCTGGAATTTTGTTTGCATGGGCACTTTTTTAATGAAATTTTATGATATACCTATATATATTTCAATATTATGCTAAAAGAAAAAAGCAGTCAAATTTTGGATCAGATATTTTAAAACTATAATACTTCCTTATAGTCAGGAAAATTCAAACTGAAACAGCTGTATATTAAAAGTTAAAAAAAAGTGTGTTATAGTGAGACCTCAATATGCGGACACCCCAACATATGGACAATTCGACTTAGGGACACTTGAAAACCAGAAACAAATAAGGCCCAACATCTGGACATTGTCCCAAGTTAGGGACATTTTTTCTGAAATTTTCCCAAAAAATTGAAACATTTTATTTGTTATTTTGATATCTTTTGAACAAATCAAGCTGTTTAAATAAATAAAAAAATTAAAAATATTTCATTATAAATTCAAGCTAATCCAAAATCAAAAGCAAGCTGATTTTGTGCTATTTTTTCAGAGTTTTTCTATCATCTGTGCACATTCTAGCAGGACTTATTCTTTTCTTTGATTTTTGATCTCCTTTTTATAAAAACAGATCAGATTCTATGTGCTTTCATTCTGCACTGTTATTTCCTACAACTTGAAGTTGAGGAAAACAGTTTTAATTAAATTTGTTGAGGACTTCTTTCTAATTTTCTCCATGACCTGGGGTCAATACTCGTTTCCCCCCTTGGTCCAAACTAGCGAATGCTGCTGCACATATGGCCCAGGCTTTATTATGAGCAGGTCAATACTTGTATTCACTGCCTTTTCCTCTCTCTCTTTCTCTCTCACTGTCTGCTGTAGCTGTATTCAAATTGATTCTGGAGATAGATTGCAGTGCACATGTTTGAGTCAATAATAAAGGGCAAAAAATAAAAATAAAAGAGAACCTCATCCATCTTCTCATGTCAGAATGAATTGATGATCATGGAACTTTGTATATATACCTGTATGTCATAAACTTGGTATATTTTTAAAAAGCTTTTGTCTCAGTACACTAGGTGGTACCTTGCAATTCAACCTTCTGCAATTTGGTCAAATTTGCTGGAAAGTTGACTCTCAATTCAACCTCTGCCTTTGCAATTTAGCCTGTGAACTGAGATGAAACTTCAAATGCCATGTATAGAAAGCATATGTCATTTGACATTGTTTTGCAATTCAACTGCTTTGCAATTTGATCCTAGTCCAGCAAGAGATTAGGGTCAAATTGCAAGGTACCACTTATTGTTCAAGTCTGGACATGGAAGAAATCTTTAGAACTTTCTTTGAAATCATTAGGATTTAGAAGAAAAAGTTAAATCCACTTGTTGAATGGAAGGCACAAAAACTTTTTTGTTCCTCAAAATTTGAGTTTTCATAAAAAACATAAGATAAAATTATTTGAAGAGTTGTTTTGCTCTATGAAAAGATAACAAAGATGGAACTTTTTCTGGATTTACACTCATTTTATCATGTCAGAATTATTTAATAAATAGAGCATTATATGTCTCAAACTTATTCAGGTACCTTTTTCTCATCACTGAAGCACTGAACATGCGAGAACCCTTTGGAACTTTCTTTGAAATCTAAGAGGATTAGTAAAAAAAAGTTAACTTCACTAAGATGGAAAGCAAAACCACTTGATCATTATGCACAATTTGAGCCTTCATAAAAAAATCAGAGAAAAGTTATTTAAAGAATAATTTCGCTCTATTTGAAAAGTTAAAGTGAGGGGAAATCTTTTCTGGATTTTCCCCCACATTTTCATGTAAGAAAATGTTAAAGAATAAATCTTACGTTTCTTAAACTTTGTAAATTGCAATGTATCTTTCATCCCACTGAATTTATAACTTAAGACATGAGAGAACCCTTTCAAACTTTCTTAAAAATCATGATAATTAACAAAGATAGGTAACTTCACTTGGATGAGAAGCACAACCACTTATTTATTTTTCAAAATCTGAGCCTTCAAGCTTACAGAAATATTTGGATTATTTTGATTAATTATTTGGACCCTGTATGAGAAGATAAAAAATTGGGAAAACTATATCTTATGATTTTATAAAAATGCTTAAGGGACTCAGAATAAATGAAAAAATTAATCCTTCGGAAATTATTGTATAGTATATGAAATATCTTTACAAATAACCAAGATAAAAATGGGGTGAAACTTACATTTTATTCTCATTTAATTTTACTTTCTTAAAATTTGCAAAGCCTTTTTTTAGCTAGCAAGTCAACATTTTTTACATTTTTGTTATGAAAGATCTCCAGCACTAAATTGGAGCAGAAATCTTTTAGAAAAAAGCTTTTTCTTGATCATTACCGAGAAAATATTTGTGAATATTTCTTGACAATCTCAAAAGATGCCTTTGATCGGATTTTTGTGATTAATATCTGAGCAGAAAAATGAAAAATTATGTGCACTTGGAATGAAACACAAACACATTCCAGCATCAGGATTTCGATTTTTCAAAAACTGTAAAAAAAATAGCTTCTATAAAATGCGTTACTTTTTTTTTTAAACACAACTCGTTGAAATCATTTGCTAAATATTATCGAGAGTTTTCCTGTTTAAGCAAAAAACAATTATTAGGTACACTAAAATGGAAACACTGTCACTTTTTAAATCCTCAGTATTTTTATGGTCTGCAAAAGAAGAACTGAAAATTGATGGTTTTCCTGTCTTCAACAACCACGTTCCTGTCATCACATTTCAGACACTTGTCAACACACCGGAAGGAAGAGTTTTGAATAACTTATTGACAAAGGACAGATTATTGACCCGAAAGTCGTCCAACCCAAACACACTCAATAATTTCTCGCCACCGAATCTTGGACTGTACAGAAAAGACCTGAATAAAAATCCGATACTGGGAAAATTTTGTAAAAAAAAAATAATAATTCTCTGACAATTTTTTTTATGTTTATACTTTGCAGCAAAAGGTCAATGCCACAAGTGTCAAGGCTTTTCACAATATAAATATCCCAAAGACCAGCTGCATGAATTCCATATGGATTTCCAAAATTGATCAGATTATATATACAAAGTTGAAGATAAATGTTTTTGAAAAGTTAATATTTTTTTGTGAAAGACTGGGTTTCGGTTGAGAGTGGGAAAATTTATTGAAGGAGTGGCAAGGATAAAACATTTGTTGAGGACTATGTGGGATGTTCTTAGGTGAAGGGGAGAGGTTTTACTGGCTCAGGTCCAGGAAATAACATGCAAGAAAACCCCTGGTTCCTGTCATCCCCCCACAACAGCTGATACCCCTGCCCTTCCCATCACCAGCACTTGCACAAAAACCCCCCTCAAGGTTGCCAACTGCTGGCACTTATCATAACCCTTTTTCAAATCCACACAAATTTGGAGAGTCTTCAGAAGGCATATTTTAAATAATACTTTCTGCTTCAACAATATTATAGATGTTGATTCAATAACATACAATTTTGGAACTACTGTATCTTCATATATTGCATTTATAAAAACCATGTTCCAAGGAACTGAGTTCTTATGCCTTAAAGAGCTCTTGCTTATGTTATTAATGATGGAATGTGGAGTTTCTGAGAATTTTCTAAAATTAGCATTGAAACCAAGACTAATACTGGAAAAATCATTATAGCATAAATATTATCAAATTGTCAGATTAGTTTTCCTAGTCCAAGTCAGAAAACTTGGTACATCATCCATGAACATTGAAAATCCAAACAATTTTGGACCACCTACTGCTTTTGAAGAAGAAAAGTTTTTATGACTCAATATTTTGGGGAAGGTTGTTGAAGCTTTTAATAGCTTATTTTCCCAGCAGTTAATAGTTTGATGTTTGCCAACCAGCAACCTTCAAAAGGTTGATTGTATAGAGCTGTTAATATACTTACCATTTATTCTGTTATATCAGTGATGAGTCAATTCTAAGCATCATGGATGAACAAGTGGAGAAAAAGGAGGAAGCTGATTCTAAAGAAGATCAGGATGATGAACTTGCTGATGGAAACCCTGATGAAGAAGAAGCTGGTTCAGGAGAGAAAGTCAAGGTATTTTCTGAATAAATCCCTTAGTTACTTCTCAAATAAATAACAGGATTGAAACTATAGTTTTTTTCTTCTTTGCAGTTTCCTTATCAGATATTGGCCATCTATGCATACACTGTCATGCATGCATGTTCAGGAGCTGCCCTGAGTTGTCAGTAATTTAACAAAAAAAATTGCCAAGTAATTTTCTGAAAACTCATGGCAATATTTTTGCAGCTGTTTCTCACACATACAAAGTCACAGAGTTGCAAATGGAACCTGGGCTGGTGACAAAGATTCAACAAGCAACTGGTCCAATATTCACTCTTCTCATATTGGCCTGGTCCTATGTTGCTGAAGCCTGGACTGGAAGATTCCCGTTTGAGATAATATTCTGTGCATTATGAGAATGAAAATACTTTTAAGATTTCCTGCATTCCAGGGTTATGATCATCTGCTGCGTTTGTTACATCTTTGGACATGTGCTGGTCACTGGGTCTGACCTGGCTCCAATTCTGTGGTATCCTGATATGTCAATTGGGACGAGGATGTATGATTTATTTTTCTTCAATATTGAAGACCATCATCACTTTTGTAGAATCGCCAAAGAATTTATTTTGGCTTTTTACACTTATTTAATTGGGATTTGCCTGCTTTACTATATAAGATGCCATGAGTGTAGTATTTAGATGTACCTGCTGTAGTATTATGGTACTGTATTTCATTCCTTGAACAAAAAGTGGCCTCTGGATATCTGATGGAAGTTCAGAATATATTGACAGTGCAGCAAATTATTCAAATTTTATCTATATGCTGTGGTAAAAGGGTAGGTCAAGAGAAGTAGAGTTTACAGAAAGAAAATGTGTACACCTGATCATTCTGACAAGGGAAACAGCATTTTCCACAGAGGAGGCAATAATTTTTGCTGGTTTGACATTTGCAAACCTTGACAGAATACAGAGTTTTGTGTGGAATTTGCCGCCATAAAAGTTGTTTTCCTTTGTGAGGATCAGTTTTCAGAAAAGCCAAGGACTTCTCAAAAGTTTGGTAGTTACCCCTCCCCCTCTTTTCCCGGGTACCAGGTCATCCGCCAGTTGTTCAAATCATGGTCGCACATCCACCAGTTGTCAAGCGCCGGTTGGTCTAACTGCCAGCCAGGGCAGTCCTTGGCCTTGCCAATCACCAGTCCACCAAACTGTGGTCCGGTCACCCGATTGTTGGGGCACCCAAACAATTGGGTGACGAGAATCATGCTGATTCTTTCTAGAATTTGGTGAGCAGAATTGTATCCTACCACAGATTATTTTTTTTTTACGAAATTTCATCTTATAAAAATTTTCACAGAGAGAAAAAACTCATCAAACCCAACCTAACTTAACCTAACATATCCTAACCTAACCTAACCTAACGTAAACTAACATAACATAAACTGACCTAACCTAACCTAACCTAACGTAAACTAACATAACATAAACTGACCTAACCTAACCTAACCTAACGTAAACTAACATAACATAAACTGACCTAACCTAACCTAACCTAACATTGCTGAAGTTTTGAAAAAAAAATCTGTGGTAGGATACCATTCTGCCCACTGAATTCTGAAAAAAAATCAACATGATTCTTCTCACCGGATTGTTTGGGTGCCCTGACAATTGGGTGACCAAACCACAGTTTGGTGGGCTGGGGATTGGCGAGGCCAAGAACTGCCCTGGCTGGCGGTTGGACCTGCCAGCGCTTGACAACCAGCGGGTGAGCAACCGTGAATTGACCGGCCGGCAGCTGACCGGACACGCTTTTCCCAACATATGCGGAACCTAAAAAACCCCATTGTAGTAACTGATTTCCTTGCATTCTTCAAATGCTCTCAAAGGAAATTAGGGGATGGGAAATCATTTTCTTTATATTATACATCAGAGCATGTATGAGAGGAAACCATACCCTTTCTTTGTTTCAAAACAAGATCAATAATCAGGAAATGAAGGATTCCCAGAAATATTTCTTTCAATTTTCAAACAATAAATCCAAAACTAGAACTACAGAATTGGATGCAAATCCAAGATTGTGAAGAAATGTTTTCCATTGTATTTGTGTGTTTGAAAATGAAATTCACTGTACCATATATGGTATATAGTTGTCCAATAGCATCAGGCAAAGTAAATCAGTTATTTTTAGGAAAAAGAACATTAATTTCCCTTTTTCCCTTTATTCAGATTTTTCTTCTATGCTGGGAGCACAGTCATCAGTTTTTTCAACACTGGAGAAGCCACAACTTCCACAGCTTTTGGAGCTGATCAATTCAAATTGCCAGAGCAGGAGACAGAGAAGAATAACTTTTTCTTTTGGGACTATAGTGTCATGAATGCTGCTTTGTGTCTTATGTACATTGTGTCTCCTGCAATGAGGAATGTTTCTTGTTTTGGCAATGATGACTGCTACTCCCTTGCCTTGGGCATGGCTGGCATTTTTGCTATTTTAATCCTGAGTAATGATTTTCAATGTATTTATAAGAATTTTGATAGATTGCAACAGTAGCATGTGTTATTATTATTGAACCTTTTTTTTTTGTAACAGTGATTCAATTAAGATATTTTTCATGCAGTTTATATACTTCCCCAACAAGAAAGTGGCTGATGATTTAAACCCAAATTATTCCCAACAACTTCAAGGAATGTTAGGAGACTCATCTGTTGATATTATTCATGTTATGATATTTCAAAGACATTTGATATTGTGATACAGGTGGTACCTTGCAATTTGACCTGAGTCCATTGCCTAATCTAGGTCAAATTGCAAAGTGGTCAAGTTGAAGGATACTTTGTCAGATTCAAAAATATCAGTACAGAAATGCAAAGCAGGTCAAATGGTGGGGCAAGGGTTGAATTGCAAGTCAACCTCCCTGCAAATTTGAATGTTGCCTTTGCTGAGATATTTTGAAGCGTTAAAAAAAACCCAGTTCACACAAATTGGCAAGCATGAAAAGCTAATTGAATACATGTTTCCTGTGTTTCAGTTGCCTTTGCAGCAGCATCCCCATGGTATGTCAAAGTGCCACCAGTGGGAAATGTGACAGGCAGAGCATTTGCCTGCATTTTTGTAAGATTCTCTGTTATGTCAAGTTTTTACATTTGGTTCCAGACATCTCATATGCGCAATTCTTTGTCCTCAGTATGCCATCAAGAACAAGTTGACTAAACCAAAAAACCCAGAATACAACCATTGGATGCAATATGCAGAATATAGTGGCTATACCCCAGAGTTCATTGCTGTTGTCAAGCACTTGCTTGATGTTTCTGTCATGCTCTTTCCCTTGTCTTTCTACTGGGCATTGTACCACATGAATGTCAGTTCAATTCATAACACTTTCTAACATCACCTTTTATTTACTGTAAATGCTCCCAAATAAATGCCTGGTGTCCAATAGATGCCAGTATCTGATAAATGCTGGGTCTCAAAGAGGTTTCAAAGGAATAATAGTAGCCAGGCTCTATAATAGTGGCTAGGAAAAGTAATGGAAGAAGGGCTAAAAGATTAAGAGAGTTTTGTTATTTTGTTGGTCCTAACAATTCTTTCCACAATCTTAAACCTCTCAGCAGTAAAAACCAGAATCATTTGTCTTTCTCAGGCATGTCATTGGATTCAATTACTATATGAAGTATAGTCTTTAACACTCAACAATGAATGAACTTTTTCCCTGCAGCCTTTTCTTACAAATTCCTGTCTCATTTGCAAAAATCAGTGGGAAATTCAAGTTCTTTTCCTATTCTCCCTTTGTGTTCCCATCCCCCTGCTTTTTTTTCAATCTTGTTGCATAGTTGCAACTGTTCGAAGTAATGCCTATATCTATGAAAGACCATGGGGAAAATTTGAGAATTTCAAATAAATGCATGCTGGTCATTTATTGGAGCATATACTGTATATACTTTATATAGTAATTGAATCCAATGACATGCCTGAGAAAGACAAATGATTCTGGTTTTTACTGCTGAGAGGTATAAGGATTCTTGGGCCAAAAGATATTAGCATAGTTTAGTAGCCCTCTCAATGTGTTTCACTGAAGAAATAATTCTTTTTTTTTTGTGAATTACAAAAATAACATTTTGGGAGATACATTTGCATTGGAAATATTCAATTTGAGAAAATTGAATGAAATGAGAAAGACGCTTCTTCAAATTTTTTAACGTACTGTATCATGTAAAAATGTTTCAAAGAAAACCAGATGGATTGACATGGGGTACCAGATGAATGGCACTGTCCCATACACAAACTTCACCCTCAAGTCTGATGAACTTCAGTGGTACAATCCTTTGCTGACCTTCATCATGGTTCCCTTCAGTGTGAAATTCATCTTCCCTGTGCTCAACAAGATTAAAATCATGCACACCATGGTGCAGAAACTTGTTGCAGGATTCGTCATTATGGTCATCACCTACATTCTTATAACCATAATCTGCTATGCAGTTGAAGTGAGTATTTTTTTTTGGCACAGATGGCAAAATGATGTAAGCTAAATGTCTGTTATGCAGGAGAACAATCCACGTCCAATGAAACTGACTAAAGATACCACAGCACTCCAAATTGTTGGTGGAATGGCAGAAGGAGAAGCCCCAGTTACACTATTCTTGAGTGGGCCAGATTTTCCAGGGCAAATGAGGATCATTTTTCCAGGTGCCACTGCCTCATGGGAAGAACTGAAAGCTGGTGTGCCATACAAATTATCAACTGACATTTCTGGGACACCCACACTGGCCACATTCACTGGAAAAGGAAAAGAAGTTAGTGAATCAATCTAAATTTTGGTCAGTATGGGTCTGCTTGATATAGTTTATGAAAAAAATAGGCATGTTGTTGTACAATTGGCTTTATGCACCAGATCTGACTTTTCTTGGAACCAATTCTTAAGGAGATAACCTTAAACTGCAGACTTAATTTAATTTTTAGAACCCTCCCTCTTTGGTGGACATGCCTCAAACCAAGTACTCTAAGTATACTTTTGTTGTCCCTAGACCTAGGTAAATAAAATACGAGTTCAAAATAAAATATATCTTCAATATATTCAGGTCACAAATATTCCAATTGTACAATCACACAAAAATATAGAGATATGGAGATATGAAGAGAGTTGTCTTGCTAAATCATTATGGAAGTCTCTCTGAGAAATAACCACAAACAACTCTAGATTAATTCTGGGAAAACATACATGAATAAGGGTATATATATACCTTTTGGTAACACACAGTATATAGGCAAAATATTTGCCTAGATTGAGGAACTGCAGGTTCCTTGAACACTAATGAATATATATACATCTGGGTATATATATGTATATGAATATATTTAGTAAATACATTTGTACCTTTGACAAGAGGGTTCTTCCTAAATTGGCAAGTTCTACAGAAAGAGGAGGGTTGTATGTCACTGTTGACAAATAGCTGATTCTATAGAGGAAACAAACATAAATGGGCATCATGCATTAATGCAGGCTGACGCAAGGGAGGGGAACCAAAACAAGAGGGAACAGCTGCAAGGAACCAAAAACCTTGTAAAAAAGATTTCAACCCAAATAAGGAGAGGAAAATAAATAGAGAAGGAAATCAGTTTCTGGGTTACACTTTGGTGAAATAAGTCAAAATACACAAGCTTTTTTAGACTTTTGTTTCATTCTTCATCAATGTATGCCATGCATAATAATCCTAGAACAGACTCTGCTCATTTCAGAGGGATTCTAAACACTGAAGAGGCAGAGGGGAGGATTTGGGTCCTTCTATTAATTTGGTAGAGTCTAGAGAGGTCAATAATGGAATGATTTTGCAAGTATTCTAACCCTTTAACTGCCAAATCCCCTACACACCAAGTTTTGCTTCATTTCACTTTTTGAAAAATTTTTTCAAATTTTAAGTTAATAATGCTTTTAAATATTTGAATCTTAAACTTGATCCCAAAATGGGGCTCATGGTAGGTACCATTCAGAACTAACCATCAGGCTACAAGGAAAGGAAAATTTTTGAGCTTGGCTGCATTAAAAAGTACTTGTCGTGCACAATCAAAATCATGTTTCAACTTTCCAATGGCATTGGTTAGTTGGCTTCAGAAAACATGTTGCTGTGAAATGAAAAATGGGCAAATATTGGCAAATGAGGTCTTGAATTGTAGATAACTTCATTGCTAAGGCTCTGCATATTTTTACATAATTTTTGTTTTGGGTGGTTTTTTGGGGGGGGGACAAAAAGTACCCAAGTCCTAAATGTGGCCCATGGCAGATAATGGTCTCATATAGAATGCAGACAAGCATAGAAAGGACAGCAGTAGTTTTTCACCCAAGATTTAATATTCAGTTGGAATTTTACTGCCAGCAGCTTTTGTAGATTACTTGGCATTTGTATGAATTCTAGGAGCAATAAGGTTGCCCTTGCACTGCCATCTGGCATCAATGAGCAGGTGCACAGGTCAAAAAAGGGTACTTTCCTTTTATCTCAGTACCTACTTTCTGCGCACATACCAGAAACTGTGAATTTCATTTTTCCGCATTCTGCTGAAACTGATTTTGGGAGGCAGTTAGGTAAAGTTAGGTTAGGTCAGGGTTTGTAAATTGAAAGATAATTGTAACTAACATAACCTGACCTAACTTAACATAACTAATACTGAATTCAAGAGACAAAGAAAAATGGGTACTGAGATAACAGGAAAGTACCCAAAAAAGAATCTTAGAAAAGGTTCAGGACAGTTTGAAGATTTCCAATAGTAAATTATGATTGAATGAACAGAACATGAACAGTTTGAACAGTATTGGATGCGGGAGTCTTGGTTGTGCCTTGTGAATGCTGAAAAGCAGCAAATAAAGTGTTCTGTTCATTCATTCATAGTAAATTAGCACGCTGACAACAACCCAGAGACAAAAGATCTAATGACAAAAAGGACTCATTCACTGCTGGTGTTCTTGTGTTCAGCATGCTCATCATGATTTTGCAGACCTCCTGTCAGTAATAAATACTTCTTCAATTCTTGATACTATTAGGTTTTGCATGCAAATTTGTGTGTACATGATATACATTTACAGTATCTTGGAATTGCTTTGCAGTGAGCACATAAGGTACTTGAAATAATAATACAATATATATTTTATTTTCAAACAGGCATTTACTGGCTTGGTTCATGGGACTGCAGGTTCACCATCAGTGAACATTTTTCCAGATCCTGAAGAGCAGTATGGGATGACAAGGACCAATAGACCTGTCATGAGGTATTGCATCCCAAAATGAATCAAAACCACTTTTCAATAATTACTTGAGCCTAAATTTTCAACAGGGCCATTGTTTTGACCCCTGGAATAGGCAAGACTTTGGATTTCATCCACTCCAATGGAGCTGTAAAGTCTGTAACTTTACCAAGTGCAGTGGGTCCTAGTGAATACCTTGGAAAACCTGATGTGGGACTGTAAGTATTTTTTCCATTGGTGAAATTCAGGAGTTTTCATGTATATGCATATAGATATGTTTTAAATCTCAGGACTAAGAACTTGTTCTTAGAAAACTACATCTTTCAGCTTGGTTACCTTCATATTGCTTGCATCTCCCTACTGTGCATGGGTATTTAACATTTCAGTTATCACAGTCATAAAACTGAAATTTACATTATCAACAATATTCATTTCTTAATAAATCATACAGATCAAGTATAATCAAGGATATTCATTATGCTGTATTACCAACTCATGAACTAAGATCAGACAAAGATGAGAGCATCACATTGAAATTTTCAAATACCTTTGGGCCACAAATTGGTGCAATATTGACTTCCCATTTTATACTACTCTCAATGCCAATAATTCATGTCTCAAAAATGTAAGGTATCTTGCTTTTTGTTAGTGTCTTTTGAAATAAAATGTACACTCCTACATTCAACATGTAAGTGTAAACTGCTCCCTTTCCCTCCTGTAAATTATAATCAGCCCTGAATAATTTTATTATGACATTATTGGGATCCTTCATTTGTACATAGGTACACCATGAAATTGGATGGACAAGAAGTTGGTCAGCAGTTGTTTGAGTCTGGTGCAGTTTATTCAGTTGTGATCTCTGGCTCAGCAGGGGTGAGAATAATAAAACCAAGAAAAATAATGAAAAGTTTCAAATTTTTTTCATTTTTTCTTTGTTCTTGTGAAAGTCCCCAAAGATTTCCACAGCTGTACAAGCAAAACCAGCAGTTGTGAACTTGATTTGGATTCTAATCCCTGTTACAGTTGTAACAGTGTCTGAAATGCTGGTGTCACCAACTGCCATTGCATTTTGGTACAATGAGGTGAGATATACCTCATACGGTATGATGGTAAAGTTGAACCTCTTCAAGTCAAAATTCAAGGGACCAGCATTGGGAAAATTCAAGTAAAGGAAGATTTGATTTATGGAGGTTTTAGTGGGAAAGTCAGTTATAGAGGTTTTTAAATGCTTTATTTCTATATAAAGGTTTTGCAACAGGGACTTGAAAAAAATTGTGACCAAAGGAGGTTCAAGTTACTGAAATTCAATTGTATTACATATCTGAAAATTTTTAATGGAGGTTGTTTTCTTTCTTGTGCCTAATTTCTGATCCCAGGCACCACTTGACATGAAGACAGTAGCCATGGCCTTCTATTCGCAGAAAAATCATGCTGGTTACATATTAACAGCCCTTGTGACTGACAGCTTTCTTCCAAAAATTGTAAGATACATCACAATTATACACATGTTTCCAATAACTCTTGACTTTACCTACACTTTTATTATTTGCATTTATAGTGGCAAGAGTTCCTGCTTTACACATTCCTCATCACCCTCAACACTATACTTGTGATCCTCATTGCCCGTTGGTTCAAGTCAAACGAGGAAAAAGCTGGGAAAGTGCCTCTGGCAGGTCCTTTGGGTCATGACAATCCAAACAGGGTCAGCATGGTCAGTGGTGAAGGGTCAGCAGGACGACCTTCAGTGAGAAAGTCAGTGGCTGCTCTTGGGGCTAGCAAAGCACTTAATGAGGAAACCAACAGGCAGACATAAGCCTGATATGAGTTGATGAATCAATTATTTTTTTCATCATTTTTCATGTGTGCATTTACACCAGATTTGTTCAAATAAATTTTGTGGCTATCAAGGTTGGAGAGATTTTTCATGAATTGATCTCCATAGAATAATGCAGCTCAAATAATTATGTAACATCAGTAAATTCTTAATTTTAATTCATTTAATTGACAGTTTTACAACTTTTTCAAATTTTGAAAATCATCTCTCAGTTTTCATGATCAAAAAAATAGTATACAGTATTAATATACAGTACAGCATATAATTATTTTAATCTCATCATTCTGGGATTATGCAGCAATGTAACTTTTGGCAAACTGTACTTCTACATTTAAGATTGTAATTATCACTTCAATTTTTCAACAAATTGAAAATCCATTCATAAATTAATATTTGATAGGCATCATTGGAGGAGGTATGGATTAATTCCTTCTGAAATTACAGGAGATACAACCAATCAGATATCACACCTTAAATGGACAGTTCAATTATTTTTTACGTTTGTTCCATCATTCAGGTGAACAGTATCATTTAGGATAGAAAATGTGGCATACAAGAAATTACCAAAGAAGATTCATGCTTTCTGAAATTGCCAATAATAGCTCAAGTAAATTGAATCAAGCATGAGAGGTTTGTACATGATTTGTTTGCACTTTTAATTAGAGATACAAAAACAGTCTTTCTTTCTCACAACATGGCTCACAATAAGATTATACAGTAACACAAAACGAGATGACATTTTTTTTGGTTCATGAAACATAAATTTATGCTTTGCGAAATCTTCCAAAGCGTCCTCCTGTATGTCTTTTCACTTTTCTCTTGGCTGCGTAACTTTTTCCTTCCGGTTCTTTTCTGTGGAGGAAATGAAACAAAACATATGTTCATGGTTGAATTGATGAAAATTGTTCATTCAATGTAAAATTCTTACATCGGACTATCTTCAGATGAAGCTCCAGAGGTATTTTGCTGTGTTGAATCCAGTCCAGCATCAACTTTTCCTGGTTTTTCTACCTTACCATAAGCTGTCCTTCCAGAAAACTGAAATTTAAATACAATTAAAGTCAATTAAAATAGTGGAATTCAATTTTGAATAACTACAAACAATTATTATACAAGCATGTGAGGTTGAGAATTACATAAACAGTATACTCAAGCCCCAATCACATCAACATGCTTCAAAGCTTTAAATGATCTGCAATTCATGAAATACTGTAACTCTCAGTATGGGATAACTCTCATGCAGGAGTAAGTTCAAAGATACATAAAGATCATTGGGTCTCCAAATAACAATGATCACAATGCTAATCCCTTTTCTGGACCAATTTGTTATGCCATTTAGAAATAGCAGAGATGTTCATAAAAGTATGTGC